CTAACCAGGAAGGTCTTTCAGGGCGTGACAAGCTTTTTGAAAACGGTCTTTTGCATGATATAGGGGCAGATGCGGGGACCACAGAACCATGTTAATTTTTCCTGAACGGCCCTCTGAATACCAGAAAAGGGGGTCCCTAGTTCGATTCCTCTTGGTGACAAATTTTTGCATTTCGAGTTGACGTTCCAAAATTCGCGCAAAATGGAGTTCTGATTGTTCTGGTTGGTTCTAACTCCATTTTGCGCGAATTTTGGCACGTCAACTCGAAATGCAAAAATTTGTTACCACGAGGAATCGAACTAGGGACCTCCTTTTCTGGTATTCAGAGGGCCGTTCAGGAAAAATTGAACATGGTTCTGTGGTTCCCGCATCTGCCCCTATATCATGCAAAAGACCGTTTTCAAAAAGCTTGTCACGCCCTGAAAGACCTTCCTGGTAAGTCTGAGGCAAGGCTTAGAATTTTTTCAAATTTGAATCAGAGGAGATCGCAATGACCAGAGGGGGGGGGGTCGCAATCAAGATCCAGAGGCGGGCGTGCGGCGTCATATGGTGCGACCCCATTGGCATTAGAGCGCACAGGCCATAACTACTACGTCCTGCTACAGCCGGACAACTCGTCCGTGCAATATATTACGTTCCGTTGCTCTTGCCTTGGCATCAGGCCGGCGACGCTGTCCGTTATTTTAAAGCTTTGGGACTCAGTGAGATCTTTGAGACCGAAATTAGCTAATCGATCAACTGTTGAAGCGATAGTTTGAGTAACGCGGAGCGAGTCTGCCGGCCGCACCGGTACGGGGGAATTGCGGCCTATGGCGGCTGCTCAATGCCAATGAGAGTGCGCATATGACCGCCTCCCCAGAGGGCGAGGGAAAGGGATCTCACTGCCGTGGCCATTTCCTTGAAGGACTGAGTCTGCATCGAAAGTACTTGACTCTTGCATGATGCTAGTGCTCACCTTTCCTTGACTAGCTCGTCAAACTTTGCTTTGCTCCTGGGACAGCAGCCGATCACACAACCTCACTGATGCCAACCATGCCGTTGTTTGCTCATTTGGATATTCAAAATATGGATAGCCATAAGCTGAAAAAAGCAGCTTCTTTACGGCTATGCAAAAATGACAGCAATCGTGATAAGCATTCTAACATAAAGAATAATATACGAACCAGGTACCGATCAGCTCTTTCTTGGGATGCGCCGTACGCTGCTTACTTGTCAACGGCAAGATTTTTGTCTTCCGCCCGGATATTAGGTGGTACCAGTGCCAACTCCAGCACAACGATAGACTCAGTAAGCCTGGAGGAGACTCGATGCGAGAGCAGACACCCACATCCTGTGCGAGATAAACGAAGCCAGGTGGCCTCCGCGCTGACGTTCGCCCTAATTTCTTATATAACACAGATATTCAGCAGGCTCACTATAGCATATATTCGGGTTCGGATTGGCATCATTTGACAGTGTGCAGTTGATCTATAGATCAAATAGATTTCAGGGTTGCACGCCAAACACAACCTTCGTGGGTGCACCACGCACTCGATTTCCCTTTTTAAATAAACAGCACAATGAAAAACATCTAAATAGTATGTGAAAACATCTATATAAGTGCATCAATTCGTAGTGGTTTAAAGGTTTTCTCCAGATCGCTAGTTGCAGTTGTGAGGGAACAACGTTCTGCAGTGGACTTGAAGGCGAATTTCACGCATGAAATAGTTAGCTTGGCCGAATAAGGTTAGAGGCGGTCACGCTAGAGCAGGGATGGGTAGAAATAAAACCTATTTGTAACGGCGCGAAACCCAAAAATTTTGACCCTTCGCCCGTTCGATTGCGCACTGATGAAGCGACCCAAGATTGAGCCATGGCTAATGGCCGGTGGCCTAAGCTTTCGCCAGTCAATTTGCCTTGCACGTCCGTCAGCACTCGTCAGGAGGTCCGCCGTCTTCAACAACTATCCAATTATCCCTTTTTGACCTTACATAGTTCTTATCGTGAATTCCTCCTTTTAACATAGCCCTGAAAGGAGCATGTGAAGGAAAACGAGCTCTTTTGCCAGTACAAGCGTTGGTAAGAGGGAGATCGCATTAGATCATATCTTCTTCATTAGATTTCTACTTTAAAGGAGGATTGCACGGAAAGAACGAAGGTCGAAGAAGGGAGAAATCGCCTAGTGGGGAGAGCGGTGAATCTCTTGAGGGTGCGGACAGACACGCAATCGGCATCGAAAGATTTGACCTCTGAGATCTAGCATGGCTCAAAGTTGGCGAGTTCGGCGATCTCCGCCCACCGATCGTCTGATCACTCGCCGTAGTACAATAGGTGGCGAGTGATTAGATAGCTGAGAGAGCGTAGGGTTGAAGAGGGCAAAGCGATGAGAGTCCCATCAATGCTCAAATCAACGGACAAGGAAGGGGTCCCATTTCTCCGGTTCTGGGCCGTTTTTCGTGGTTTCGCTTTCTTTCTGGTACTACTCACCATCTCTACCTCAATTTGGAATGGGTTGCTTTTCCATCGTAAATTCGTCCTTTTAAGGCTAACGGCTTTTTTCTGGCTCCGTGAAGACTTTTCTTTCCATATTATTTTTGCAGCATATTCTTTTTCATTCCAGAATTACAGCAATTCCTGCACGCAACCTGATCATGAACAGAATGATTTCGATGGACGAAAATATCGCTGAAGATCTGTTGATCAAACTTCACAGGCAATAGACTCGTTTCACTGCCTTCGGCAGCGTCGTTTTGACTGAAACATTAGTATTCACAGGCGTATTAAATGCCGAAGTTGGCTCTGGAAATGCAAAATTCACCTGTACTGGGCCGTATTCCAACCAGGTAATGTCATGATTTCGCCGTGCCAGTTCATCTGCCAAATATTTCATGGTGTAGCCGTGCATGGGATATAGAGTGCTCGGCATGAACAGCACTTTCGCCGAGTCGACGAAAACGGCCAGCGCGGCAAGCAGCAGCGCACGGACGGCTTTCCGCATCTGAAATCTGTTGAGCCGTAGATCAAATTGACACCATCAAAAGCGTGGCAAAGCTGGTCGATCAAGGTGGTAAGTGGGAGTCGAGCTTTCCGTCATTTTCTCCATCTTAACTTCAGACCGTCGACTGCAAATAATGAAGAGCCTTGGAAGTCGGTGAAAAGCGATAATTAGTCTAAGAATATAAAGGAATGCGTTGTTTACGCGTAAGTTTTCTTTTATAACTGCTCTCAAAGAGCAGCGTAATTCCCAAGGCTTTCATTACTATTATATCATCCTCCCTGGGCGGAAGTGGTGTAGTGACAAGTGGCGCGCTTACCACGCGAGCGGTCCGGGGATCAAATCCTGGGTCGTGAGTCGCCCGGGCCAACCAAGCCTTCCATCCCTCCGGGGTCGGTTAATTGGTACCAGACTTGTCTGGGAGGATAAAAACACTGACTTGAACATCGGCTGGCCCCCGCAAGTCATTGTATAGGCCACATCGCATTCAAACGCCACTGCGAATGTACAAATGGAAGTAGAATGCGTGCCGCATCCAAAAGGGATTGATCAACGGCAAATGCTTTATCCTTATCCTTATTCTTATAATGCCCGTCTTCTCTTCCACACGAAACAGAAAAAACTATCCCAATAGCCAACGAAATTCACCAATAGATCCAATCCCCATAACTGACGTAAAGCTTCACCCGTACTGCACCCTTCCCATCATCAGCATCTCGGAATAACATCCAAAAAACGTTAATGGATGAGAGAATGAAAGGCACGAAACAGCAGAAGAAACATGTTGGTTGGGGAAAAGTAAGAGGAAAAGGTCCATTTAGTAGAAGGAATGTAAAACAAGGACGATTGTAGAAGTCCGCGGAAAGATGTGAGAGCGAAGATCGGACGGCGTACAGAAAGTGCTAGTCTTTAGTGGCTTACTGATAACCCTCTCAGACATATCACTCGTCATTGTTGCAACACAGGGCGGAAGATGAAAAGCAAAGGATTACAGATAGCGGATGTGTCAAACTTTTGCTAATGGGACCACGCATTTGGCTTCTGTTAAGAAATGTAGTAATTGAAATGTAAATCGGCGCGCAATGCGACCAATGCGACCCCTCTCCCCTCCCAGAACACAAATGCGACCCCCCCCCGTTCGAACAGTTCGAACGGACGGTTGACCCTGGCTGAAGGGTGGTCGTGAAGCAGTTGACCCCAAACGGGGGGGCCTCTAGAAGGGGAAGGGGGTCGCAAAATTTTCGAAATCGGTCCAACGTGACGGATGACCCTGGGGGAATCCTGTTTCAGTTTTCTTTGTTTCTTTTCTCATTTGCAGTCAACTCGGCAACTCGGTATCCACAATTCCATTATCGACCGCTTTTACCCCACCAACTCGATCTGGAGGTGTTGTGTTCCCTTCGCCAGCGCTCTCTCCCTTAAACGGAGTCTCTTGCCCTGTGACCTCGCGCACTCCTACTTTTGCCTCATATCAAGTGGCTTATCCGCCTTCACCTCTGTCGTCTCCTGCGCTCCTACTAGTTCACGGATTTTCTCGCTAGCAACGTTCGAAGACAGCTCTCTGTCCTGTGTGCGCTCTAGCCTTTCGCAAACGAGAACATGGAGGGGAGTTCGAATAGTCTCCTAGATTCATGTGCAAATAGCACAAGCATAGAGAACACCACTAATTTATTTCAGATTCGATACGGTCATCGTTGACGATCTGTATAATCCATGTGGATTGCTACAAGTTGCACTGAAAGGTTGGTTGTTTTGATAAAAAAATTCAGGGGCTGCTTTATCTCACAAAAAATCGTTTTCGCGCGAGGGCCGATGTCAGACTTTGCGAATCGAGCGATTTGCTACCGTTAGCGGTTGCGTCGTGGCCAGCGATTACGGCCAATACCGCTACGCAACCGCGGACGCTAGAAAATCCCTAAAAGCGAATCGCACAGTCTAACAACGGCCTAAATGCTGTTTTTGGCTGTTTTAAATTCCTTTCCAAGCGTTTCTTGTTGACATAATGTTATGAAATTTAAAAAAAAACGTAGCGTACACACCTAGAACGAAATAATAAATAAATATTTGAAGAGGAGGGGTGTAATGAGTGACCGGAACATGTATTCACTGTGATCAAGGATGAGCAGTAAACAGTAAGACGCGAATGATCCCTAGGGAAGTGAAAGACTATTACCGAAAAGCGTATTGGCTGGCCCAGCCGCACCGTGTTTGTCAAGTGGTTAGACAAGGGACACAGCAGCTGTGCAAGATGGGAAGAAAGAAGTCAAATTCGCCAGAGCAATAAAGGAGTTGCTGATGGAGAAAAAGAGATCGTGTGGGAAGTAAGCAAACCAGCCCTTTTGGCGTTTCTGCTGGGGCCGTATGCTGAATGTTGGGGAGGGGATGGGGTCCCCGACGGTCGACGGACTACTTCAACTCGGTCCTTAAAACCGCCTCAATTTGATGCTTACCTGCGAGAGAGCGCAGGTCCGTCCTCTCCAAGGCTTAGTCCTG